GACATTGCTGCAAAACGTTTCCGAAGTTTGCAGAGAGTTTCAATGTGTATCATTTAATTTCCATGGCCATGTATGATGACAAGGACCGATTTGAATTCCAATGTGTTTCCGACTCCGCCGTGAACGAATCGCTCCAGTTGCATGAAGCCCCTGTCAAAGTTCGTTGCGGACAAGGACATACAGATGATGTTTTGGAAACCCGGTCCAACGAAGTTCTAGCAAAATTGATCTTTTGCCGTCCTGACCATGCTCATCGTTATCGATTGAACCTGACCGCACGCGCGAATCGTGACATCCCACCACGGCTTTATCTCCGTACACATGAGCAGGCGGCTCACCCCATCATCGCCAATGGCATTTTGCCGGGCGGAGGAGCAGGTGGGAAGAAGTCGAAAAGAAATTCTTTCTTTTCGATCGTACCTCTAGGAAACCAGACGGCAGTGTCAGGTGTACGTGCAGACCGACCTAAGGAGTTGTGTTTTTCTACAGCCGAGGTCATCGAGGCCGGTGTTGATCTATTTTTGACAAATTCAAAAGGCGGTGATCACCAGCCATCATGTGCCCAATACGTGTATTCTATTCGCAAACAAAGCCCGCGTAAATGCGGCGCCCGAAGTGTTTTAAACCCCAGGCAATCGATCCTGCAAAGATTGAGCCGGGCGTCAAGCAGGAGGAAGTCGACCTCATCCCCGGTGACATCGCCGATCAGACCGATGCTACTGGGACAAATGAGGAGGCTCCTGAGGAGCGTACAGTTCAGAGCAGCTCAATCAAGAAGGAGGAGATGGAGGCGCCAGGCCGTACAGTAGTTGGTCCTATCGAGAGCGGACATTTTCTACATCTCCGCACCTTCAGCCGCAATGAGTGCACGACGCTTTCCTGCATCATGCTATAGATGTGGCGCAGTATTTCAAGGTGGTTCAATAGACGGTTGGACAGCGCAACAGCAGGGGGTGGGCCCAGCAACATCACCTCTACTAGCATGCTTGACAGCATTGCCGGACAAGATCTTCAACCCGGACGTCCTCCACCACGCGGGATCCCTTGGTTGCCCGCAATCGTCTTCGTCGCGCTCTCAAATTGGGGTACGAGAATGTTTACGATCGGTTCAACCGCGATGATGCTTTTGCTACCTCCGTAACCGGAGAGGGTTGCACAGCTTTCGATGCAGCTCAAGAAGATCTCTTTGCGTCACTGCAATTGCCGGCCGCCTCTCGGTCAGCAAAGCAGAGATCCAAAGGAAAATCTGTTGTGAGCGAATTGGATCGTGAAGACCGTGTTGACCTTGCAAAGTTGGCTTTTATTCGATGTGAAGTTGACAATTTGCATACATGTTTCAAGCCAGGCCTTAGCGAGAATTTTCTCGCGAGCTATCGCCGAGAGTTTCTTTCACTTCGTCATTATGCTGCCGTAATTGGCAATGGCCGCGACGAGGTCAAGATCCAGGGATTTATTCCTACAGATGATGTCTATGGCGATATCCACAATATCACAATTCCTCGTGGAGACACGATGGGCGTATACAAGATTCTCCGAGAGTTTGTGCTACAGAATGAGCAATTTGCTATAGCTCAATATACCAGCACAACGCTCAGCAGTCGGTGCGCGCGCAGGAGAAAGGTCGTGGGAACAAAGAATGGCGGCTTCTTTACCAAAATACGCGGATTATGGTCAAGACATTACGGGTGATGAGATCATTCGCTTGGAACGTCTTCTTTTGGAGTTTGGCCAGCGTGATGCACCATCACCAGAAGCGCCTGTAACAAGGCCGCCGCAACCTCCATCACCACCACCAAATCGTCCACCCACGCCGGGACTATCGCCGCCGCCCAGAAGACCGCCGCCAGAAGAGCAACCTACTTCTTCCGAAGGTCTTCCGGCAAAGTCCAGGCCACCAGATTTTAAATTGACTCCCGAGCCACCGCCGCTTCGAGACCTATTTGACAGGTTACCGCCTTCCGTAAAGGGAAAGGGACAGGGCAAGCCCAAGGGTCGATCCCGTGAAGGCCCATACGATGCAAGGCCGTGGCATTATGAACACATGCCTGTTCCACGGTTGCCGCCAAGCTACGCACACTCCCGTAACTGGGCAGTCATATACTCAGGGTGCTTGGCAACATACACCAAAGAGCTCACAACCTTCGGATGCTTCGCCGTTGGAGCCTTTTGATTTTCCTGGTGTACAATGGCAACGGGATGATGCATGGGCTGACAACTATTGGCCCAATCATATGGAACTTCGTGAATGGATGGAAGACGGTTGGTGGGGTTATACTGGGCGATTTGGGTATATGCATTATTGGTGATGCAACTTTTGGACAGCTACCATAAATGGTAAGCCCTACAGCTTATGAGTTGAGATACTGTTCATCTTCTGACCGTGAGTAAGATGATGTTTCAGCACATTGTCTCACGTAGGACAGCATCCTTATCCGGATTGCTTTAGGCGGAGAGTGAACCTTTAATCAATGCTCTAGTCAGAACTGGGACAAGCATGTGTAACGACGCGCCGAGTGAGCCGGTAGGTTGTACATTAGGGTAGCTATGTTGTCCTTGTATAGCGCACGAACGAGCTTGATGAGGGATTTCTAATATTATTCCTTCGTCGCTAGAATTTATTCCTCCCAAAGATTTTCCCCTGCGGGTAGCTCCTTGTAAAGGGGGGTGTTGAAATTCACCTCATCCCCATGCACCCCGTAGCGTGGACTCTCAAGGCTCCCCCTGCTAACTGCAGCGGTACGATATTGAAACTAAATTGCAAGACTAGCACACTCAGCAAATTGGCCTTGAAGACCAGCAAAACATTGAAGCAAGCAAGGCAATCAACTGCCATGGCCATTATCGGCAGAGAAAAGGACACCCAGACAGAAGCCAGCAAACACCCGAAAACAGCATGTTCATATGCCACCTTGAAAGAAAGACTGGCCACATACAAACAATATTGGCCCGCAGCCACAGAGCGTCCAATGCACGAAGGAGCCTTCACCTGAGAGCTACTAGGAACAAGAAGCTACTAGGAACAAGTGCATCGCTTCTAGCAACAAGTGCCTTACTAGTAGTAACAAGAAGCTAGTAGAAACAATATTGGATTAGAATTTAAATTAGTAGCAAAGAAGGAGGCTACTAGGACCTTTTCGCACAAATCCGTGGCAAACACTCCAAGCACATCCTCGGGCACCGAGCTCACAGACGGGACGGGGAGCTTTGTGCCATAGGCCTGACTGCTATCCCACTACGCTCACCTTGGGTCTTGGGTTTGAGCGTCTTTTCCTTCACTTCCCCTTCCTCCCTTCCTCCTTCTTTCCTTCTTCCCTGCTTCACTCCGTCCTTCCATCCTTTCATTACTTCCTTTCCTCTCCTTTCCTCTCCTGTCCCTCCCTTTTCCTCCCTCCTTTCCTCCCTCCGTCCTTCCTTCCTACCTTCCTACAAGCTATTTTTTCTCGACTTATTGTGACAAGAGTGGTCAGTTAATTCTTGCAAGAGCCTTTCCATCTTGCGCAGGGCCAGAAGTATGCCTTGAGTGCCACGCGTTTCGCTATCTGAATCCAGACAGCACTTGCAGGGCAGATTGTCGCAGCCCTACCGACCACGATTCTTATAAAGCCTGATGCAGCATGTTTTGAATGCTGAGGTCCAGATGGCTTCTACAAGCAAGGATACAATGAAACCAGAAACACGTGCCCTCGCTGCTTCCACACTTGTAGCAAATGTGACTCCGCAGCTCAGTCAGAACCAGTCCATTATTTTGTGCGGGCATTGAATTGAATAGGGCTAGAGAGGGTCGAGCTGAGGCAGATGTTTGCACGGAATGCAAGAACTTCACGTGCGCGGAGAAAAATGCACAAGTGCATCGTGACATGTTGTTGTTGTTGTGGTGGTGGTGGTGGTGGTGGTTTTTTGTTGTTTTTTTGTTTGTTTGGTTGTTTGGTTGTTTTGTTGTTTGGTTGTTTGGTTGTTTGTTTGGTTGGTTGGTTGGTTGATTGGTTGGTTCGTTGGTTGGTTGATTGGTTGGTTGGTTGGTTGGTTGGTTGGTTGGTTGGTGGTTGGTGGTTGGTTGTTGTTGTTGTTGTTCTTGTTCTTGTTCTTGTTTTTGTTCTTGTTTTTTTTCTTTTTTTTTTTCTTCTTCTTCTCTTGGCAGTTGACAGGTATTTGACACCAGACTCTAAGTGCAACTATGAATGCCCGGCTGGGTATTGGGAACGTGGCACGGAAGAAGTTGGTGGTTCCTGCGAGCTGCTCGGCCACGCGAATCTTGATTGGTGACATGCCGTGAAAGGAAGTCAGCCCTCGAAAGTGTGTGCCCTACCTATGTGAATCCTAAACAAGATCCCCTTGGCAACGCTCCAAATCGCATGTTCTTTTGTCCGACTGCGTGCTGTTGCTGCACTGCAATTGGGCAAACACAATTTTTTGTGTTTGGACCTGAGGCGGTGCTCCGACAATTGCGCTGAATGCAGTAGCATGGACGTGTGCAGAGCCAACCATTCTTGCAAGTCAGTTGGAGTCAAAAGAAATGGACTTTGTGGTGAGCCGTGCAACCGGTTTCGGCTGGCCCATGCGAGGTGCGAGGTTTGCCATAGTGGATACTTCCTCGACATCACAAGTGGAACGTGCAAGAAAGAGTGTGTGGGTCTTACAAGTGGATCCCAAACATATTTGATCACAGATGACTCAAAAGAGACCGAAGACAGACGGTGTACAGCCCTCAGGTCGATTTGTGTTCACTTTTTTTGCTACATACGCTTCGTGGGAGGTCCTGATGGCTACTGGGAGAAGATTTTGGATCGAACCGTGGACATTGGTCGTATCTCGGCATCAGTATCACTCGCATTCAGATTTGAACAAATTGTTTGATACTAGTCTGTGTGGCACATTCTTCATTTTGTTTGATGGTTGATCGCCAGCTCTTGGATCATGGCCGAGGCACATGTGAGCTTTGCTCATGGCCTTGCAACAAGTGCGATTCGGACCAGCATTGCACAGAGTGCAAGGACTCTTCATACCTCACCCCTTTTGACACCTGCGAGCTAACCTTAGCTGCGTTAGCTTCAACAACTGAGAGCAATCAAACCCATCGAGTCATCGACTTGACGCAACGCCAAGGAGTATACTTGCCCACCCGGCTTCTACCCACAAGGAGTAGGGGAGATCGGTGTAACATGCCAGCTTTGCTCTGGGAACTGTGCGACTTGTGACACATATGAAGTATGCCCGGCCCCAAGTATTGCCAGTTTTTTGAGTGTGCTTGCAAGTTGATGCGATTTGAGGTACCACCTGCAAGAATAACAAGTTCTTAAATCCAGACGGAACTTGCCAGCTGCCTAAATCAATTTGATGTGGAGGGAGGAGTATTGAATCCTCACATACCACATATGATTTTGCAGTTTCTTGACCGTTGGAGATCTTTAGTTTGAACACGTTGTGGAAATCCGGGTTGGCATCACAGGCTTGTAATGTCGATTCGGGCTCATTATATAAGTTTAAAATGCTGCCAATCCTCCAAGGTCAGGATATTTGCCCCGATGGATACTGGCAATTGCCAGTGTCAGGTGGTGTGGGCAACTCGTGCCCGTTATGTTTGGTGCTGAGTTGCGATCAAGGAAACAACACGCAATGGCATCAAAGAAAGAACAGCACTTTAAAAATAAAATTACAGCGTCGACTCAGCGTTGACCAAGTAGAGCTGCAGCTCAAACAAGATGCTGTGGAGCTGTGGATAGTCCTTTGGTTCTTCTCCTGACCTGGTGCCTGTGCTCGTTTGGTCCCCTTGTCACCTTAAAACCTCCAAATAGTCTTAGACAGGAGAATGAGCCGCTTTACAGGCAAACTGTTCAGACAGTGTGTTCTAGCCTGCGATTTGATTTGGGAAACTAATTTGTGTTCATGTTATTTGTTTCAAGCAAAGGCCAGCCAATTGTTGGAAGGTTGGCTCAATTAAATTGTAGAGCGCGAAGAGGATTTGGAGAACCGTCCTTTTCAAGCGTTGCCGCTAATTGAGGCATTGAGGTCCCTTATCTTTTGACACTGTCAAACAGCGATCAATGCTGCGAAAAATAGAAACAAAGCTTAATCCACACGGAGCTGGAAGTGCACCCAAAGCGCTGCAAAAAGCTGCCAAAGTTGGACTCCAGTCAGGAAAGACCGGCAAACCAGATTCCAAATCCGGCAAACACTGACCAGCTAAACGGGTCTGGAAAGTGGAGAATAAAACTTTTTTGGGTTTAGCAGGAGAATCATGGAACCTCCAAATCAGAGCGGGCCAGGGAGGATGTGGGGCACGAAAGACATGCGATGCCTACGGGGTTCGCGGTGTTAGAGATGCTGTTAATACTCGTATCAATTAACTGTTAACCTTTATGTCCATACTTGCACAAATCATAGCGACTTTCACATTGGCCCCAGCCCCAGCACTGGATTTTCGCTGGGCAAAAGTTCAGTAACTTCTCAAAATGCTACATAGCAGGTAGCAGCCTGCCGAGCCTATGTTGAGCTAAATTAGAGACAGGATTCCTCGACAAAACACAAGCAAATTGTGACGAAGTGACTGCCTTCGCGCAAAATGGCAGAAGGTCTGTACGACATGCCTCCCTTGTAGCATGCTGTTTGGGTGATACCGGCCTCATAAGTTGGTTTGTGTTTCGGCAACGGTTCTGCTGGGAACTTTCTCAAGGAACTCGGAGTCTTTTTATGAAACATGTTTCTTACTTGGTCCCGGTGAGGTGCGGAAAACTGCAGCTTGTGCACAAGCCCAACTGTTTGCCAGGACGAGTTTTCGTCGAGACGCTGCAAGAAATAAGCATGCTTGTCGATGCCGGAGGAATGCCGCAATTCCACCTACTTGACTCACTACAGTTGGTGCGAAGTCCAATGCCAAGATGGTTGCAATCTCAGACCGGATTCACCATGCTGTGAGATGTTTGGGTTGGAGCCCACAAGTCTTCCACTTTGTGTGCCACACCATGCCAGGCTGCCAGGCATTGCATTTGGTCTAAATTTAATAAATCTAGGTCTTTCCACCCTTGGCAAGGTTATTACGAAGAAGGTGCCGGTCACTTTGGCCGCGTGTGCAAGGCCAGTCGGCCTTGTCATTCTGTCTCATTTGGTCGCCGATCATCGGCCCCTCCAGGCCTGTCCAGGCACTTGCAACAAATGCAAGGCTGAAAACTATTGCACAGAGTGAAGCTTGACAAGCAAATGGTCCCACAGAATTTGGAGAAATGATTCTGACACAAACATATGGAAAGATGATGAAAGATGAGACACCTCTCGTCCTACATTTGTTGGGTCGCTAGTTCAAACCCACACTGGCTTCACCTTTCGGCACAGAAGGCCTCGAGCTACCTGGAAAGGTTTGCAATCACCTACTCAGGGAACACTATATAGGTTGCGTGAAAGCTATTCATATGACCTGTGCTTAATGTAAATTTCCCTGCAAGGCTTTACGTTTTGTCCAAGGCAAAAAGTCCACATACCTCACAAGCTTGAACGCCTGTGAGCAGAGCTGCCCCATTGGCTTCTATCCAAACCGGGACAGAGAAGTAGGTGCTGAACTCAGGGAGTTGATTTGTTCATCGTGCGAACAGCTCAAGTGCCCGAGGTGGTGAATGTGAAACCTGCCCAGAACAGTGCTCGCAATGCACTAGTGCTTCCACATGTTCAGAATGCAAGGATGGCCTGACACTTAATTTGTGACTGTAGCTTGTCATTGGCAGATCCAGAAAGATTTGGAGGTCTCTACTTGACACCTTATGGCTTTTGTGAAGACACCTGTCCTCTTGGCCATTTTGCCCGCGATGGTACAGCTGGAGTGCCGTGCTCAAACATATGTTTTGTGCGTGCTGATTGGGTGCTGACTTCATCTTCGGTTGCTCGGGCTTTTTGCAACATAGTTAGTTGCGTATGTTGAAATACATCACCTAATGCTATGCTTTTACGCACCATGCCAATTCTTGGCTCAAGCACGCAGCTCATCGCGACAAAAAGGAGCGCTAGCAGTTGCAGCTTAGCGGAATTTGACTGTATTTTAGTGGTTGAGCCTGAAAATACAGGTTATCAGCCGTAGCCTCTGCCATGGCTACAGATGATGGTGTGAATGCCGCGCTAGCCCTCATCCCATACTCTGGCGATACCGTACCGGCCGCCGGGGGCAACCTCGTGTCCGAGGATGTCGTTATGGGGTCTGAAGGCGTCACAGCATACTTTCAGCTTATTCAGAACAATGTTCATCAGATCGCTTCGGGAAACGAAGAAGCTGTCCGCTATGAGGCGGAACAGAGGCATCGAGAGATCATGCACTCTACTATTCAAGCCTTAGGTTCGCAATGTAGAGTTGCCATCGATCAGATGAGGGAGTTTGCGACAAGCAAGTCCTGGCCATGCAGGGTCGGATCAACTTGTTGGAAGGGCAGCTGGCTGAGAGTCAGGCCAAAGTTGCCAGCGCAGACAGCCTACATCAAAAGAGGATTTCGGAGCAGAAGGCAGAAGCAGAGAAGCTTCACTTGCAGAAGATGAACGACAAGATGAGTGAGCTGGAAAAGATGTTTGACAAGATGGTGGAGGATGCCTCTAACAAAGCTAGAGCACTCCTTGAAGAAGAACGTAGGCAGCGCGGCAGCGCCATATCATGGAGACCGAGTGGACTGAAAGGAAAGAGTATCTTGAACAGGAACTGCGAAAGGCATCAGAGACCAACGCACTCCTCCAAGATCAGCTTGATGGGTTGATTCCAGCGCACGAGGCTGAAGCACCGCATCACCTGCCAGGGTCGGCTACCCCAGTGATATCCGAGCCAGCAGGCCGTGAGGCCCTGCCCCAACCAACAGAGATTGATTGGAAGGCGAGGCTAGATGCAAGGTTCGCTCAGAAACTCGGTGACTTCTACCCATCACGAGCACCTGCAGCATTGCCACATCCCGCAGCGTTGGAGCCTGCCCACGGTAAGGATGAGCATTTCGTCGATGCACGTGAAACTGCCGATGAACGAATGTCCCACGCTGGCGACGGAGGAGTCGATGGCAAAGTCCCCACTTCTTCGGGTGAAACCAACGCACTGATGAGTGGTCTTGCAGAATTACTTAGAGAAATGAAGTCCAAGAAAGACGATGAAGGCAAACCAAGGGTCAAGGAAGCCGATACGATTGCCATTCCGGACATGCCCACGCCCGAGACTTACCGTCAGTGGAAGAATCTGGTTCGTGAGCTCGTTCGATCGTCGTCCGACAAGCCCGACGAAGCATGGGAGTGGATTATGGAAGTTTGGGATCCAAAGCTCTCTCGTGTTGAACTCGAGGCAAAGCTCCAGAATCCAGGCAAGTTCGTGACCTTGGACACGAAGCTCACCGCTGCTCTCACAAAGTCAGCCCGTGGTGACCTGGGAAATAGAATCCTTAATCACAAGGAGGAGCAAGCAAAGAAGGGACATCAGACCAGAGGTCGAACAGTACTTCTTATGTTTGATGACTACTTCAAAACATCCGAGGAAGCTGGTACTCTCTACTCACTAGAAGACCTTTTGAAGGTAGCGAAGTTCGGGGATACCATCGCAGACCTCAAGAAATTCATCAATCGTTGGGACGCAGTGTTAGCCGGTATGAAGAAGGAGCCTGAAGAAACAGTCCTTCGTGATGTTTTGCTCCGTCAGATCCGTCCTAGCACGCTACTCAAGTATGACATTGACACCTATGATCGGGCAAAGGAGGGTGATCCAAGCAAGACGTATTCGTTCCTTGCGAAAGCCATTCGAGACCTGATCAATCGTGAAAGGCTTAGGGAGAATCGTGATCGCATCGTCGATAAGAATCAACGGAAGCCGAACAACCCCAAAGACAGGGCCGGACTACCCGTGGTGCCCCCAGCCAAGAGGGAGAAAACGCCCCCAAGGGGAAGAACTCCTGACAGAAAGAAGATCCCGCGCAGAGACTTCGTGAAAGGGAAAGGAGTGCCCGTATCGTCATGACAAGAAGGACAGGTCGCCCTCTAGGCAGAGGACACCCCGAACGTCCAGTCGTGACCCAAAGAAAAAGCTCAACAAAGAGGAGATGGCAAAGATTCCATGCGTCTATTTTGCACGTGGAGATTGCCGCCGTGGGGATAAGTGTTTGTACCTGCATGAAAAGAAGAGTGCAGCCGCTCCGAAGGATCCAGCTCGGCCAAACTCTCCGAAGCCCAAGAAGGAGCCGAAGCCGAAAAAGTCGGCTACTCCCTGCGTTCGATCAAGCTACGCACGCAGCGCTACTGTTCGGATCGTAGCCCAAGAAAAGAAACGGCAGCACAGAATGAGAAACGCGTTACCTTCGATAAAAGGGTAGGGGTGAAGAAAATCAACGCTCATGGCCGATGCAATCCAGTCATTCATGGTCCTAGAAAGTATGACGAAGTCCTCACAACTGCTGAAGCAGCAAAGAAATTGGACCCAATCCATGTGTTGAATGCCAAAACAGCAGCAAGAAAGCTGCAAGAGACGGTGAAGCAGTTCGGAAATTCGGTTCAACCATCATGTGGTTTCAATTGGCAGTAGATGACCTCGAAAGTCTGACTTGCAAGTGCTGTAGGAACCTGCTAGCACCATGCAAGATCCACGCCGTGTTGATGCCACCAACCGTTGCCGCGCCCGCGCCAAAAGGTCGCCATCAATGGCTCATCGACTCTGGAAGCGAGCAGGACCTGATCAGGTGATCTACACGGATAATAGTCGGGAATTGAAAGCCGCTATCAAGGAACTTTGTTATAGGCATCAAACATCAATAGAGTACGTGGACTCCAGCAAATCCTTCGTGGAGCGCGAGATACGCCAAATGCTGGAAGGGGCTCGATCCAACCTCGTTCAAGCAGGAATGCCTTTGTGCGTGTGGCCGATGGCAATGCAGCATTTTGCCATTGCTGTCAACGCCAACCCGCAGTTGTCAGGGGGGGACAGTCCATGGTCACTGAGGTTCGGGGCGGAGTTCGATGGGATGCCATACCCTTCGGAGCCAAAGTGTTGTTTTGGAACAACCCAGACAGGGCAGACAACACCGCAGGCAAGCTTTCGCCAACCTCAAATGAAGGGGTATTTCTAGGATATCATATTCAGCCTGGTTTTGTGTGGAGAGGGGAGTATCTTGTCACGAAGCTTGAAGCCATCGACTACCATTTGGAACATGGCAGCGTTGTCATTCGACGCACCAAGCGATTGGAGTTGCCCTCTGAAACCCATGTGTTTCCGCTGAAAGCCAAAGCCGACAGCCTTGAGCCACCTCCAGAGCCGATTGCTGATCGCGTGATCCCGCCGGTACCCAATCCGATCATTCCACAACAATCCGATTTGGAGTACACACCATCCGTTGCACCAGAGCCCATTGAGCCACCTGCTCAGGAGACAGAGCCGCCTGTTGACGTCGAGATGAAGAAGTCCAGCGCAGAGCCACTTGAACCTGGGGAGATTTTGCCCGACGGGTCGATCGTGCCGGACGGTTACCATTATGATGGAGTTAGGCTTGTGAAAACCTACAAAGGTTCGAAGCGGCCACGAAGCATTCCCTCAGAACTCTGGAAAATGATGGGTCCGAGACAAAGGGAGAAAGCAATTCGAGAGGAAGAACAGAAAAAGAGTGAAGGAGTCACCAGTTCCTCATCGAAAGCCGCCTCGACGCTCCAGTCACCTGGTAGCCAATGGGAAGTGCTCCCAGCAAGAAAGAAACTACTGACAAACGAGTCGTTCGCAGTGCCCTGCATGCCTAGAACCAGGGGGGCTGTCAATGAATCTCATCGTCAGCCCATCCGGCAGATGGTTGAACAACACATCAAGCGTCTTGAGTTCAAACAAGATATCGAAATGTGGGCAGCAGTGGCAAGGCTCGTTTCCAAAGAGGAAGTCGCTAGAACCCCCAAGGCAAGAGAGGCGCTTGACCTTGAATGGAACAAGCTCAGAACGAAAGGTGTCTGGGATGAAAAGCTCGTCCGTGAACTCCACAAGATCAGTCAGGAAGCCCGAAGAAAGGGAGAAAAGGTTCATCTGGGTAGGATATTCGAAGCCTGCTATGAGAAAGGCTCAGAACTACCAGAGAACGATCCCAGAAGAAAGTTTAAAGGAAGAATGGTATTTCAGGGCAACAACGTCCGGGACGAGAACTCAGACCACGCACTGTTCGCTGAGCTCGGCTCAAGCCCTGCCTCAATGGAGGCCGCCAAGATATTGGATGCCTTCGGATGCCAACCAGGGTATGGGAAAGAGCAAGCAGATGCAATTCAAGCATATGTCCAAGCAACTTTCAATGGAATCCCAACATGGCTTGAACTACCTCGCAACAGGTGGCCGAAAGATTGGGAAGAGAAATATTGGAAACCCATGGTCCCAATGGTTTTAGCATTGTACGGACACCCCGACAGTGGGGGTATTTGGGAACAGCATTAAAATGCTAATCTAGCCAAAAAGGGATGGCGCCGAGATGTGGCAATCGACCTTCAGGCACGATGAGTTGGACCTCATCCTGGTGGTCTACGCCGACGATTTCAAGATGGCGGGGCCCAAGAAGAACTTGGCCAAGGGCTGGGCCGGCATTCGCTCGGTTGTCGTTCTGGGCGAGCCAGAGCCCTATGACAGGTACTTCGGGTGCATGCACGTTGAGAAGAACGGTGTCAAACTACCCATCGGTGCACATCCATTTGCGCGTGTGTTTGACCCGCAGCGCGCAAGCGCATGCTCTGCGCAGATTCATCGAAAGAATGACTACTGGGAGCATGACCCAAACCATCAAACCTGGACGCGCCATCACCTACAGCCAAGGAAGAAACTCTTCTTCCCGGGGGACGAAGGGGGCCAGTTCAACG